TCAAAATTTTGGTTAAAAATCTTGTTTTTTTTTTTTTTTCGTCAGCGATAGGCTAAAGATTAGTATAGAAAATATTAGCGTCCTTTTTGCAGTGACAAAAAACATCGATTTGGAAATTCTTGCGAAAATAATTGTCGGATTTTAATGAAATTTTTAGGATTTATTCACAAATGAATCAAATTACTACAGAAACGTTTCTTTTTTTGTTTTTAGAAAATCTTGGTAAAACATTTTTTACATTTGTTACTTCCTTATTTAATTTAATTTATTTAACTTTAAAAAATTTTGAGAAATTAATTTTGTACTGCGTAATGTTTATATTAGTTATACGCAGGGCTTCTTGGAGAATTGAAATCATCAAATCTTTTTTGTGAAACAGGACCCCGTTCTCGAAAATCTGTTCGGAACCATAGAATAAAAAATCAATAAAACTAAGACATTATTTAATTTGAAAAGCTTTTAATTGCTTTTAATGAATAAAATATACAGGGTGTTTCAAAAAGAATACGCCAAAATCATTACGTTATTTTTTCAGGTCTGTAGCATTGTAGTGGACTGAATCAGTGGTTATTTGATAGAGTAGTTATCAAAGTTTGATTGGGTGTCAGTTTCACCGCTGTAGTTAGTATAACTTCCGGTGCAGCTAAATTGTGGGAAGATCAATCAAAATGGCGACTCCTCAGCAGAAGGCGTTTTGCGTGCTTGAGTACAGAGCACCCACATGAAATTGTTGAGCTTGAAAGAGATTCCCTAAAGTGAACGTCTTCTGTGTTGTGTCGCAAGACAAGGTCTATGGTCCCTTTTTCTTTGAAGGGGTTAGAGCTTATCTGAATGAAAACGTGCCTCAGCGATGATTGGGAGGAGAGGTGCTAAAGACCTTGTTCTCTGTGCTTGGCCTGCCAGATCCCCGGACCTCACTGTGTGTGACTTTTTCTTGTGGGGGTATGTTAAAGACCAAGTTTATGTTCCAGCACTTCCAGCAAGTATCGATGACTAGAAAGATCGAATAACAGCTGCAATCAACACGGTGGACCGTGACATGCTGAGGCGCGTTTGGGAGGAATTCTCATATCGGCTTGATGTTGTCCGCGCTGCCGGTGGTGGTCACGTTGAGCACTTATAAAACATGAAATGAAACTTGAATGTATATACAACACATTTGTTCATGCTAGAGGTTTGTAATTTTTTTCGTTTTTGACAAATCACGTGATGATTTTGGCGTATTCTTTTTGAAACATCCTGTATTATGGACACTCTTGTCTTAAGAAAAAAAATCCATTAATAATAAATTTTTACAAGAATTTCATTTTTTAAAATTTTTATTAGAAGAATTTTTAAAGTTCTAAATCTCTCAAATTTCTGTATTAATTTGCACCACTAAGGTGATTTTGTTATAAAACAAAAACTATATTTACTAAACATAAATGGAAGAGTTTAATACAATTCATCGAACCCAATATTTTAAAAAGAATTTTGAATTTTTTTTGAGTGTGTATAGTTGTGTCATTATCAGAAAATAAGAGCGATAACTATAGTAAATTTAAAGCCAAAGTACCTAAAATTCAATAAAGCATTAGATTGCGGAGAATATTTTCCTAAATTTTAAAGATATATGCTTGAGTAAGAATTATATTTAAAAAAAAAAAGGGCTCACGTTATAAGTAATTTTTACATATAGGTACCCCGTAAAAAAAAAAAAAAAAAAAAACAAAAACAAAAATCTATGTAAATAAAGACCTGTTGCCGTGTTAAAAACGCATTTCTACGATGTTTTAAACTAAAAGTAAGTAATATTTGTTTCAAATCAAATCTGTTAAACTTTGAGTCAGCTGATATTCCTATTTAAATTAATTTTGAAATACAGAAAAGTATTTTACTTATTGGAAATATTAAATTTAATCTATTAGCTTGAAATTAAAACTAAAATAAAAGCTCTAAGAAAGATGCTTCATTTTTAAAAATTCATTTTAAACATTAGGTATCGCATTTCTTTGCAGCTACCTACCTCGATAGCTAGGTTGAGGTGGGTTGATTAATAACTTTCCTAAAAGTATTTGTGTGAAAATGAACGGAATGCGCAAGATCTGAATTTGAACTCGACACACCAATTACATTTTCCCTACCGAGAACTTTCATTATAAGCGCGCATCCACTTGTCAGTGATCTTCGGGTTAAGTTTGATCTTTATGGATGCTCCGCTTTTGTTTCCTTGTGCCAGACTAGTTTTCAAGATATCGTTGAGAGAAAAACAGATTTTAATCTTTTTTGTCTTTCTTTTTTGTTCGTCACTTTTTATTCTTACAAAATTGATTGCTAATCCAATCTAATGTTCTCTAAATACAAGACCGGAGAGCCGCTCAAGGTAGAAGATTACCGTATGGTGTTGTATGAGCTTAGGAAAGGACACGCGTTAGAAGTATAGAGCTGAAGCAGATCTTAGAAGGAATCCGATGCCCAATCTTAAACAGGAAACAAGGGATAAACCTCTACTCCTGTTTAAAAAACTGGGGATGTGTGTGAACCGGACGATAGGCGAAACATCTACTCCTATTTTCATTTCGCCTTCTCTTGATTCCTGCTGGACTAATACATCGCATTGTTGATGCGAATTCTTTCTTTTTCCTTTCTTTCTTCGATAAGATTAAATTGGCAGCCGATCTAAAAAATCGTCTTCATTCTGTTGTTAATTGAGGCAAAGAATATCTTGTTAATTTTAACGCCTCTAAAACTGTCCTCTATTAATCATCTGAGAGAACAATCTCTGCCTCTCATTAGCACGTAACTTCCAGGTAAACATGGCAAAAGTTTGTCAAACACTGACTTAACTTTCCTAGCGAACATTAGTTCAGCTTCTTGCTTTCCAGTCAAATGTAATCTTCAAAAATTTAAATGCAATGTCAATTGTTTTTTTTTTTTTCTTTTTTTTTTTAATCGTTATCATCGCATGCCACTAAGACACAATCAGTTACAGGGTGTGGAAGAATTAGGAACAGAAACATTAATAATGAGCGGGAAGAGGAAAGAGTAATCAGGAGGACAGTAGGCAGCGATTGACATTGCATTTGCATTTTTGAAGGTTAAAGTTAGCTGGAAGGGAGTTCCTCAAATGAGAAAAGAAACTGTTAGCATAGAATATACGGTTATATCTAGCCAATTCAACTGTAAATTGTTGCGATCTCGACGTCAGTCAAGTACTGCACTTAAATTCATAAAGTCTAGGTACCATAGCGAAAAACTCATCTAGACAATTACCATGAAAGTATTTATAGAAAAGGCACAGAGAGGCTACTTTACGTCGGTGTGAAAGTGATTGAAGCCGGGCTGGTGGATCAAAACCATTAATATTGATGATTCTTTTTTGGATCTTATCAAGGAGCTCAAGGTAAATACCAGACCATATGTGGAAACAATATTCTAAGCCTGGACGAATGGTAGACTTATAGATATGTAAGATAGATTCTGGAGAGAAAAATTGTCTTGCAAGACACAGCGAACCAACGTTCTTGGTCTTTAATCATGTTTTATTTATCTTATATTCTTTCATACTCAGTAATCCACCTGTTGTGTTTTAGTGGCTTTATTGCCTTGGTTGCGGGTTAAATTATTTAAAAATAAATCTAAATTGTTGACCTTTTAAATGGTTTTTCGACCACTATTTAAATGCCTCTCTGCTTTTATTCCATATTGATAAAAATTCTGACCCCACCCCAATTATTAAGACACTGCCTTGTATTAGATATCAATGAGTAATCTATGTAATAGTCCCATGTCATGTTATAATCTTATCATGTTTCTTCTCCTATCATGTTATAATCTATGAATATTATTTTTTAGTTTTCAACTGTTCAATATGATAACAGCTGCTTCATAACGATTTTATTTATTGATACCTCAAGTTTACCCAAGACCTTAAGTGGAAGTAATATATACGACCCATTACGAAAGATACTGGAAAAATTAGTCATCTTATCCTATCACTCCAGGACATACCTGCCTAGCTCTGCCATGCTTTATCTTTAACAGTCAGACAGGCCAAAAATAGAGTACAGGGCTGGAGCTTATCATTCGTCACTTTCCAACCTTGATAGAGTTCAAAATCGTTTTTTGGGGGTTTTGTGGAAGAACATCCATTCTCCGCTTCTCTGCAACTTTGTCGTTATCCCCATGAAAAATGTTCAAATAAGCTTCATTCTTTAGTTACACCAGTTCAGACATTTACAACTCAGGACACGCCATGACACCTCCGCGGAGTCGAACTTCCGTATTGCAAATATGAAAAGAAAGAACTACGCGGTCTTTCTTGCCCAAAATGCACTGAAGGTATGAAACAAAAGAAAACAGCGAGTAACCTTTTTGATAAGTGCAAATAGATGGAGAGATGAGTGCCACAAAAGGAAAGGGGGGTCCATAGAAGAGAAAGTATTGCTTAGTAGTTAGTAGGCGATCATAGGTTCGAATAATGGTAGACACTCCAGGCTTTATTCTTTGTAAAAAAAGAAAAATTATTTTGTTCCGATCAAAACTATTCTTTCCAACATTGCAAGTTTAAGCCTTTAGTACAAGTGACGATACTGATACTATTTATTAGTATGAATACCTTCATTGCACACAGCTGTTCAACTACATATTAAGACAGTCAAAATTGATAAAATTAAAACGATAACAATAAAAAAAAGACAAATATAATACATTCAGGTCAAAAATTATCATTAAATTTCCTCTTCTTATCTCAACCTGGTTTGGCTTTGGTTTCAACATATATTAAAAAAAAAAGTACCAATAAAGCACTTAGTGACATAGCAGCATTAAAATGAACTGCTGACGATGTTATCACTGTAACATTGCTGAACCGGTGAAGACATTGCAGAGAATTACAAAGGGTTAAATTCAAGTTTATTTCTTCGTCTCGTCACGTCATCAGTCTTCTAACCAAGAAGAGGCACCACAGCGATAGCAGTAAATCAAACGCATTCACAACACACTGAAGATAATCTAGGCTTACGGCTACATCACGTTAAAAAAAACCGCTTCCCGTACGACCGCCAAAGTTAAACAATGTCGAGCCTGGTCAGTACCTAGATGGGTGACCGCATAGGTATAACAGGTGCTGTAAACTTGGATGTGCGCGTAGAATAGACTTAGGGCCATATCACGCTGAAATACTAGTTTCCGTACGATCTCCAAAGTTAAACAACGTGGAGGCTTGTATTTGTACTAAGTCGGTCCTAAAATAGGTTCGACGTACAAAACGTTAGGAACTTCATATATTAGGTATGACGCAGAGTAAACCTAGTTGTGGTCGCTGATACTTTAATATCCGACTAACGGTCGTCCGGCATCGACTGACTCACCGACTCAGCGACTGCTCGTTACTATTACTACTCCTACTTATTATAGGTGGGAGAGTCTATTAACTATAGAATAGGTGTGTTCCACCATAACAATGGGTGAGCGTTTAGGAATACCAGGTTCTGTAAGCGTGGATGTGCAGGTGGTGTAATGGATAACGGTTTGGAATTGTTAATTTCAATTCAATTTGAGATCGTTTTATTTACTTACGCGCAAATACCTTTGGGATAGTGTTGAAACTTGACTAATGCATGGAATAATAATGCAACACAAAATGTACTTAGAACAAAATGTATTGAAACAAGAAAGTGTACACAATATTTACATATAGTCTTTTGTATATTCCTGGTAAGACCGTTCCTGGAGAATGTGTTGACTGAGTCGCAGTCGGGCAGAGTCTCTGGTTGAATCTCTTGATTTCTCCCTCTCTTCCCGGTACCAACCATATTTATATGGTCGGTACTCCACTATGCAAATTAGGTGGATCCTACCACAACACCCCACTCCCAAGCCTTGGAATCCCTTTTGGATTTCAAAGTGGCTTCCTATATGGGTTGATGATTATGGCTATTTCTTTGTAGATCCATTTGCATACTTCATATGCATATGTCCATTCGCTTAATTTTAATATTTTTTCCGTTTTGGATTCACGTCCAATGGGTCCGTGAACTTTCGTTTCCTACCGGATCTTCCCGGTTCAGGAGTATTCTGCGGAGGTTCTACTTGAAACATATCATACATTACCTCAATGGGATCTTCCTCCTCATCCGGTATACTCTCTTCAGGCTCTATAACGTAACATTTTTTAAGTTGATTCTGGTGCCTTTTATGAGTATTCTTCGGCCCTTTAATTATGTAAACCAGGTCACCGATTCTCTTGTCCACTATGCCTCGCTCCCAGACCTCAACGTTGTTTTTGTAGCACTTGAAAAACACCTTCTCTCCGGAGGTGTATCTTTTTCTCGCTGTGTGTTCTCTGGTTTGGCGTGATTCTGTATACTTGTAGGAATTGCTGAAGCGCCTTTTCCGTTTGAACTCCTGAGGCTTTCTTCAGAGCGCGCTTTAAAGTATCGACAAATCTTTCTGCGAGTCCATTGGACCTCGGATGATACGGCGGCGTCGTTATGTGGTTAATTTGATATAACTCACAAAATTCCTTAAATTCTTCAGAAGTGAATTGTGTACCATTGTCACTCACAATACACTCTGGCACACCGAACCGTGCAAATAGTTCATGCAAGAAAGTTGTTGTGGTATTAGACGTAGGCTTTTTTTGCAGCGTACTACTTCCGGCCATTTTGTAAAACTATCTACCACTATTAAGTAGTAATAATCTTCTACTGGACCAGCGAAATCAATGTGTAATCTTGTCCACGGATGATCCGTCTTGGGCCATGGTTTGTGTACTATAGGTGGTGCCTTAGCTGCTAACGCACACCCTTTTCATCGATGAACCATGTTTGCGATATCCACATCCATTCCTTTTCAATATACAAAGCTTCGAATTAAGCTTTTTGTTCTATTAACCCCGGGTGACCCATATGAAAGTTCCGTAGTATTCTTTTCTGCAACTTTTTTTTACTACTACTTCTCACCATATAATAAAACTCCTTCACCTATTGAATAAATCTCCTGCACTTTTTGGTCATTTGCTACCATTTTGCTTTTTATTTCTAAATGAAATCATCGCTTTCAGCTTTTTTTTATTTCCTTTAGTGTAACCGGTAGATCTCGTACAATGTTGTTTACCATGCTTTTCACCTCATAATCTGCTCTGATATTTGCAATAATTGATGATTTTCACATAAAGCCCCTATCATCCAAAAATATAATTCATGCGGATAGTTTATCAAGACTCGTACACAATATTTACATATAGTCATTTGTATATTCCTGGTAAGACCGTTCCTGGAGAATGTGTTGACTGAGTCGCAGTCGGGCAGAGTCTCTGGTTGAATCTCTTGATTCCTCCCTCTCTTCCCGGTACCAACCATATTTATATGGTCGGTACTCCACTATGCAAATTAGGTGGATCCTACCACAACAGATAGGTAGGAATCCTCGTCTTCTCCCCCAATTATGGGTTAATTAGTATAATTTGTATCAGTAAATCAGTATTATCTAAAAAAAATTCTTACAGTCTAAATAAACTCTGATTTTAAATAACCTACAAGGGGTTGATAAGCCGTAAAAATGAATCAAGTAAACATGAAAATAATATACATCAAAATGGTTTTGTTGATTGCTTTGATGTGTAGCTGTTACATTATGTAATAAAAAAAACTATTAGATTGCATATAAATATTCCATTCACATTAAACTTCGACCTTGTTTTACTTTTAGTAGCGACGTAGACGCACTGAAAATTACTGATATAAATAATCTATTTTAAAACAAACTGTGACGAGCGATGAAACGTACAACAATGTGTAATACAAGAGACTGTTGTTAAAGCGTAATTAACTATAGTACTAACGATACCAAATGGGGGACATCATTAAACGATGAATTGTAAGAAAGTTCTCTCCTATGGGTATTTTGCAGAAGCGCAAACAGTTCATATGAGAGCCTCATTAGTAGGCCTAGCATAGAAAGAAATGCAATAGGGTAGCCATTAAGAAAGAAAGAAAGAAAGAAAGAAAGAAAGAAAGAAAAATAACAGCAAGACTTCAACATCTTCAGTAGGAGTAAGAAAAGAGAAACCACGTTAAATGCAATCCAGCGTGATAGCAGAGACAGCAGCAGTATCAGAAGCAGATAGGTTAGGTTTAAGTCTCCACGTTCTAAACTCAGGATTGTCCTTAGTACATTAAAGCATTGGTTCGTGAATTTGGTGACATAATAATTGTGAATTCACATCAAATCCAATAACTGGGGTTGATAGAGCAGACACAGATTCTGAAAAGGGGGTCGAGCAGTAATTGAGCAGTTCGAAATAAGAACAAGGCGAGATGTACTTGACGTGAATAGCGGAACGTAGATTGAATAAAGGGTTCAGTTCGAAATTCCTAGAAAGCACCTGGTGAAGCCCGGAGGGTATAACGTTTGAAACGTTGAGATATTAACAAAGATAACTCCTTATCTCATTAATTCAGACAGAAAATGAACATGAATTCGCTAAATATAAGTTTATGGCGTTGAATTAGTTACAACGACCAGCGAAGCGTTTTTTTTTATTTTTATCTTGATCAGGCAATTGCGATCTGGTTTTGTTTTGAAGCAATTTCAAATTTGACCCGAGAAATCCTAGAGTCCCAATCGACACAGGTGGAGACGCTAGTTGATCAGCTATTTATTTATTTATTACAGTAAGGTTGTTCAAGGATTCGGGGTCACTCGAGGTAGAGGGTTACAATAAATGGTAGTTTATATGGATAGGTAGGGAAGATAACGGTTGATCAGGGAAGCATCCTCTAGAGAGTCTATTCTATAGGGCAGTGGTTCGCGGGAAGAAGCTTTTTAAGTGGAACTTACTTCTCGCCGATGGAATACAGAAGGAATGTGGGTTGGCTTTCTACTATGTAAGTGGCATGGTGGGTCCTAGCCGTGAAGGTCAGACCTAGTGGAACCAGATGAAGTTCCATGATAGTAGCGATAGAACAATGAGAGACTCGCAACATTTTTTCCTAGCCGCATATCAACACATACGGACTATGCCAAAATCCTTCTTTTCCCTCCCCAGGTTTGGAGATTGGGCTGACTCCTGGAGGCACAGCAATACCAGGTCAACCAGTGGCGAAGGCGGATGATGAGCTCAGCATGCAAATTACAAATCGGAGATACCAAAATAAGTACAAAAATCTAAATACCTGAGTAGTGGAAAATGCGACACTGAAATCCAAAGAAGCATTAGGATAGCCAAAGATGCATTCCAAAAGCTAAGCAGAGTATTAAGATACAGAAAACCTCGTTAGAAACGGCATTCCCAAACGGTCATCCATCTAGGTACTGGCCAGGCTCGACAATGCTTAACTTCGGCGATAGTACGGGAACCGGTGTTCCAATGTGATGCCGGAGGTGCTAGAATACGACGACCGCACTACAACAGAGTAGTCTCTTCTGCACATAGGGGACACCTAATAATTAAATGCTTACCTATTCAAATGTAAACAACAAATGTTTACCCATCCATGAACTAAATACATGCTTTTGGAATGAAATTAAAATGAAATGGCCTTGTGCTACTAGTGTGTGTGTGCGCTGATTACCAGAAATTGTAACTAAGGTCTGCTCAGCATAGGTCGCTATATATGCTACAGTTTGCGTAGTGATTAATGAAACGCAAGATATGATTGGTGGACTCTGGCAGTACTTTGTGACCCTCGCTATCCTATCAACATTTTCTTGTTTCCACATACATTTATATACGTTACAAATTAAACTAAGTGCAACTGACTATTAAAGTATGAAAAACTTTTGCGGGTCTTGGGGTCATTCTGGGATCTTTTTTCAATGCAAATCCGTGAATTTATTTTACACATGTCGAATCTCGAAATAACACGTGCACCGACCCTGGAAGCAGGTATTAAATAACGACCCAGAATTGGAAATAAATAAATAGTGGAGTTCCAATTCCAATCGGGTTCATTATATTCACTTACGCGAAAACACCCTTGGGAAAGGTATGGGCCTGCTTCTTTCCTCAGCTATCGGTTAATTAGTACAACTTGTATCAATGAAGGTCATTATTATCCCCACAAAACTTTTCGCTCTAAAAATATTTTCTGGCTTTAAATAAACCGCGAAAGGTTGATAAACTGTAAAAAAAAAAACCTAAGTTATAAGTGCTACCCATTTCAGGTGTTTTTCCGTTGGAAGTCATCAAGTGAATTTTTTTCAGTTTTGCGTCAAAGCTCTTTGAGATTCTCTAGTACCAGACTATATGATCTGATGAAAGATTGGCGCCCCTTAAGACTGCAAGAACATCGTAAAGCGGTAATAAAATAGAAAATATCAGGTGTAGCTGACCATATATGGAGGGGAAAGGGAGATCACCGCCCCTTGTGGGATGAAGTTGAAATAATAGTCATAGAACATCACTGGAAAATAAGAAAACATAAGGAATCAGCACAAGACCAAGCATAGAAATGAATACAATATTGTAACCAGTAATAAGGAGTGCTAAAGAAAAGCAATGAATAACAACACAAAATTGCAATATAAACTCTGGTAAAACATATGCAATAAAAAATTGCAATATGGACACTGGTAAAAACGTTAGGTTCTTAAGTCCCAGAAATTAACTCATATATGTCGTCAAAGACCTATGGCCCAGTCGTTAAAGGCGTTTGTTAGGTTTAGTGACTAAACACAAAGATTTGTGAGTTCAATGCCAGTCGACTTAAAGGAAGAGGTGTGAAAGCGCTATTTAGTGTACATAACAAATAAATTTATTCTTTTTATTTCCAGCGCTGTTTCACGTTGCGTCATTTTAAAAAAATGGATTCACTATTTATTAAAGAACAAAATAATTGAAACATCTCTGTATGTGTCTGTGTGTTTTGTACAATTTTTTCTTTTCCCAAAAATGTGCCCGATAAGATAACAAAATGCAACGGAAAAGAAACACACCCACTAAAATTTAACTTCATGTTACATATGCATTTTATCTATATCATGGTGAAAGTTGATAGACGAATGGAAAAATAGTTCTAAAAAAGAAAGAAAGAGTTCACGAATGAGGAAGATAGAGTAAAAGAAAATTGTTGAGAAAAAAGTAAGCAACAGATATGACTAAAAATTGGAGAAGTTAGGATGGGCTGAAATGGAAGAATGATAAAAAATTAGATAAATAAACAAAAACAATTTCGAAAATCTTGAGAGGACATTTACAACTGAGTGTTTCCCAATTTTTAGACCAGTCTTAAGTTGAAGATTAAAAATTAAAAATTGGATGCATGTTGCATCCATATCTTGACTTCTATCGTGACCTATAAATGGCTTCAAGCGAATAAAAAGACGATGATACTTCATCACGTCTGATAGGCTGGGAGTACGGATTCACAAAAGAAACATCGCCGTACTGGAACAACAGGCCCCTTCATCTGATCTTACTCCGTGTGACTTGTTCTTTTCTCCAAATTTAAGGGGATCATCAAGGGGGCCGGTTTTGAAGTCGTGGAGGCCACCAAGAGGATCGTAACAATAGAGCTGTGAGGCATCAAAGAAGAATCCTTCCAGAAGTGAATAGAATCGTAGCAGAGAAGGATGGAAAAGTGCATTAGACTCGAGTGGGATTACTTTGTGGAGAAACCATGTATTTTGTTGTTTGGAAAATTGTTTGTGGCTCCAGACCCGTTACTTTTCAGACAGGTCTCGTATGTGCAACCCATTTCTGTTGTTGTTGCCACTCGAAGTCATCGAGTGAAGTGTGTTTTAGTTTTGCATCAAAGCTCTGGGATTCTCTAGTAGCAGCCTATAAGATCTGATGGAATATTGGCGTCTTTTTATTTATTTTTAATTCATATATAAGTATACATAGATAAAAGTATAAATCTATATTTCTGAGATGAGGTATTATGTATATTATTTACATTATTCGAACTATTGTCCTCATCTTTGTCGCCATATTTATTACAACGTAGTGAGTTCAATACACGGTTAAGGCAGTGGAGTAATCAACAGTGCTAAAGAATTAGCATGAAGGTGCTAATTACTTGGGTAGAAGGGATTCCGGAGTGATTCCAGAAATAAGTTTTTCTTTTTTCTCTTTTTTTTTCTGCGGTTGAGTTATTAGTTAATTAAATGTAATAATTCTAGAGTGATTAAGAGACGGATTCGTTAAAGTAAAGTTTGTGATAAATGGCGAATTGGACTTTTGGGTGGTCTGAATGGCGGAATTCAACCAGACGGGATAAGTGGTTTTTGCAAAACTTAAGTAGACGTTGTCTGCGGAAGACCCAGCAGGAGGTCCGAATCCGATTTTAGTATCTCTTGAAAACTGGGTTCCCGCTGAGTTTCGGGGACCGGAAAAGCTTGCATGGTGGTCAAAGGCGATTTGCATATTAAAATTCGGGGGCGATGCCTAAAGATGGTTTAGCTCTGCCTCTCTCTATATAAGCTGCCCGCACGCTTGAGTTAGTCAGATCGCAGAACCGGAGAAGAGACGGCTTGTTGGAATTTGCTGGTCCGGTTGGTTGGTTGTCACGCGACCAAGAGGTCCGATCCGAACCCAGAAATAGAAACAGACCCTGTATGAAACCAGCTAATTTTGCCAACAAAGCTGAGAAACCAAACTCCTATAATTACACGCTCCGACGAAGATCCCCGAATTATTTCCCTTAGATCAGCCGAAATTGTTTAGGCAGAAATTTTCCTACTCTCTCTGTCTGTCACTTCCGACCCCAAACGAGTGAACCTCGTTACGACATTTTGTACTCGTGTAAATTCTTCGGTTGTGACATAAAAACAGTGGCCTAAAAATGGCTCTTTATATAGGAACCGAATGAGTTGTTTATTTTTCATGTCTTTGCGGTTACGACAAGGAACTTTTTTTTGCATGAATAGGGATTTCCTTTCAGCGTACTACCCAGCCATTTCCTCCTCTTCCCACCTGACCGTTCTGGGGAGACCGATACACTGCTGTTCGGATCAAGAATTCACAACGTGGCGAATAGTGGTGGTTCCTTCAGTTCACCGCGGGTAGATCGGGTGGATTCTTTTTTTGGCCAGAACCACCGGGGAGACAGAACATAGCTGCAACAGGCGGGGTTTATTACGTTAGAAAACATGGCACGTGGAACTAGAACTGTCTACCCCAGTGAGTGAAATAAAGGGTTCAGTTCGACATTACAACCACCCGAAGAAGGCCGGAGCGTACAACGGCTCATACGTTGTAATAAATATAGCGACAAAGATGAGGACAGTAGTCCGAATAATGTAAATAATGTATAAAAGTATAAGTTTGGTTAAAGCGAAAGTATTATGATAACGATTTTTAAATTCATTGTTTTATCTTTCAGGCCATTTTCCTGTTTTCCGTTCTGAGTACTTTCGCTTATCATAAGGCATTATCGAAGAGATTTGTTTTTTGTTATATCGGTTTCATCATTTTCAAATATCACGTCTTCACCTCACAGTTATCGTGTCGTTTTTTACTTTTTACTTATGAAATATAAATTTCGTAAGATATTATTTAAATTAGGTTGTCGGCTTTTCCTGGTTAATTTACAGTTGATTTTTACAGTTTAGTTGTAATTTTGTATTATTGGTAAGCGCTTGTCAGATTTCTTTTTTATGTGTTAGTTGGTTCAAAACGAGGAAAAAATCATTCACAAAGAACTTTCGTTGGTCTGTATCCAAATTATAGATATTACAGACCATTTTGGACGATCATAATAAATTTAAAAAGTTAACCAATAACACCACCTGCCAACTTAAAAAAAAACAAAATATATTAATAAACTTATTACTGCTAACAATGCTGAAACAGGATCTTATAAACTTCAAAAGATTATTGGTGACTATCAGCCTGGCTACCTTCATGGAAATGTAAAAATCCATAAAAAAAGATCATCCCTCCGACCTATCATTTCACAAATACTTACATCAGTATATTTCCTTTAAAAAACGCTTAACAAATTAATTACTCCCTACCTCATAAGTAAATATTGTATTGACTCCACAAATGAATTTATGCAAATTCTTCCCACTGTAAAACCAAACAACAAATAATCGCATCTTTGGAAGTACAAAATTTATTTGCTAATGTCACCGTCCATGAATCGATTGACAGCATTATCTATGATGTATACAATCACACTTCTCTCCCACCTATCAGTATTAAACCTACTATTTTTAAAAGAATATTATTAGTATGGACAACTCAAGTACATTTTCATGACTCCCTAGGTAATATTTGTACTCAAATAGAACCGAATCACGAATTTACGACCTGCGTCTGCTATTCCGCGACCATTATTGTCGCTTAGCAATCTCCCATATCAACATAACAGGATATCATCTTTGATGGTGAATATCTTTGTTTAAATGTCCATACAACCACT